AAATTTCATTACATATTCACTTACTAAAGGCTAGAAATGTGTTCCCATCAGAAATCTTGAACATTATTCTGAAAAAAGTAACTCGATGAGTTACAAAACAAAACGTGTTGTATATGATCTTATCCATTTTATTTTGGCAGCAATAATGAAGTAGGTATTTTGAAATAAGTTTTGGAAATCTAATTCTAGTGATGGCAGATAGGACAGTTACCAACTCACAAACACAACTGCACTGCTTCAAGAGAAATTAAGGTCTAGAACAAAGAGAAAGCCACAATGGGAACAGCATCAACAAAGCTGTAAGCAATATAGATACCATTTGTCAACACTAGGCTCTTCTTTAGCAAGCGCTTTCAGTTCTTCTCTTTCACGAGTGCTACATTGCCTCAATTATAAAAAACATACCTGAGTTTTGAACGTTATTTTATTGATCCCTGGTTCCAGTATTAAGTCATTACATTTTAACATGTGAGCCCCATCTTCTAGAGTGACTCCGGAGGGCATATCCAGAGAAGTGCTGCTCTCCTGCCTTCGCAGCAGCATGTGCACATTTTTGCAGATAATTCCTGCTGTGTTCAAAGAGTTATCGGAAGGACTGCGTTCATACATATCATTTAACTCCAATGCTGGCAAGCTGTTTCTCGACAAAGGAAAGCCTGTGACCTCGCTTGGAAAGTTGATTACACCATTAGAAGTTTTGTGCTTAGTGAGCCACTCAGCTGTTTTTCTGTAACTATTTTTCTCAATGCTGAAGTGAACGTAGATAGCAATCTGATCCACTTGGACAGGGATGGGCATTTGGCTCAGTAAAGTCAGCTCAATAGACAACTTTCCACCCACATGGACAACAGCATTTGGAGGATCAAAATGTAGAGTTTTCAACTGTGCAAAGGAGTGCATAGACAGTATAACCTTTTGACCTGGAAAGATAAAAACAGGGATTTTATTCTTCTCTAATGCTGTTAAACACCAGCAAATCTATTTTCTTTTTAAAAAAGTTTCAAAGTATTAACCTCTAAAATTAAACACACCAACAACTTCCAAGTCTTTTTATAATGAATCCTTTCACAACAAATTAACATGTCACTATTTTAAATTTTATCTTGCATAGAAGCAAACGGAGATTCACGATGCCGAGAGTTTTTTCTGACAATTCCAGGCACCTACTAGAATTTTTATTACTATTTAGGCTATTAAAAGGACTAACTGAAGAGAGATGTCTTCGTGGGAATTTAACGTTTCACTAAAAGCGTTGTAGATGAACACTACTATCAAGCGACAAACTTTCCATATAAACTAACAGCAAATACAAGTTCATGAAACTAATGATCAAACTAGTACCTTGAGCCATCGTCTTTACCATTCAAGCGGTTTTCAAAAAAACCCAATACTGCTAGCAGTACTAAAAACTGTACAAGAAGCAAGTCTGAAATAACATAACCTTTATGGTATGTCCTTTCATCATAAAAAAAATTGCATAAGAAATAAGTAGGCTTCAGAGCTACAAAGCATACTCAACGTGAATTTGGATTATGACCAATTTTTGAGGACAAAATATTGCTGGAGCAGACAGAAAAATAAAGGGAAAAGGAACATGGTGAAAATAACGAGCTACAGGTTGGCAGGAACAGATTCAATAACAGAAGAAGTGTTATGACCACAGAGCTGCCAGAGAAATGCAAGAATAAAGGTAAGTTACAAACTGGGAAGAAAAAAAAAAAAAAAAAGATAAATGTTGAGTCGCTCAAGCAGAGAAACAGATAAGGGAAGGAGAATAAAGGTTTTCTGGTATTCAGAAAGAAAGTGTTAATTATCATTTCATCTTCCATTTCTATCAAATACATATACACAAATATTTCAAAAGTTTTATACATGTTCTGGAGATGACAGGAAAAGAACCATGTTGGTTCAGAAGTTGTACATAAAATAGTGAATCCAATCAGAAAAACACCTTTCAATCTACCTGTAGATCAGATTACAGCAACTTAAACTTTACATATTAAGGAACCAGACTCACCTTGACTCTCTGCTTGCTGACTGGCAAAATCTAGAATTTCGTGGCAGAAGCGTTTGCGTTCATCTTCTGTTAAGTGATCATCACTGGCTAAAAGGCTGCTTGTTTGAAGATAACTAACAAAGTTAAGGAAACATGAGGTAGAAACATATAACATTGCAGAAATTTGACCAAAAACGAGACAGTTCAAGCACTGATTTTTCTAATCTGTGATACAAGACCTGTGTTTATCAGTAGAATTTTTCTTTAGGAAAGAAACAATGGAAGATTCACTATCATTTGAGAATATTGCAGAATCTTTACTTTTCAGCTGACCTTCTAAAATAGATCCTTTTAACCTGAACAATCTTTTTTTTATATCTAAAAAGATTACAAAGCATTGAAAATTCATTATTTGACAATAACAGATAAATGCAGCATGTAAGTTAAAGCCCCAATGTGTTGCACTACACTACACAATATTTTATATTAAATAACTTTAAATTAGAATGTCATCAAATATTACTGGTGTGCCCTATCAGCTTGCTGAGAATCTGCCAGCTGTTACAGTACCGTTTACCATAACTAAGTCATAAGGCACTTCCTATAGTCTTGAGTGCTGGGGATACAAACGCTCACTTAAATATTTAGCTAAGACTACAATATTACTGTCTCAGCATTTCTAAAAATATATGTTTTGAAGCATAAAACTGAAGAGTGTTTAAGTGATTGAAGAATTTTTAAAGGAGCCAGACACTCAAAGTGCTCATGTCTTGTGGTTTAAAAAAAAAAAAAAACACCACTCAATTTTCAGTTACAGTAAGATCTCTAGTACTGTCACTTAGAGAATAAAATGTCACTTTTCAGGCAAAGAAAAACCTACACTTTTTTAGCCAGAAGAACCATCAAAAAAGCTGAATTCATCCTTGCAATTTACACAAGAACTGTCCTGCAGAAAGTAGTCTCTGTTAAGCTGACCTCCCCAGTTTGGAACACCTGGAGGAATTTTATTTAAAGCTATGGCATCAATGAAAGCAGTACCCTTCTTCTCCCCCCTTGAATGTCAAGAAATATCCAAATTTGTCAGTTTTGCCATAACATGTAATATCCTGCACTCAACATACAGTTCAGATTAGAATCATGTTACTTTAGTTATTAAACGTAGGCAACATCATATAGGCTAAAATGAAAAGCAGAACTGAAGTTGCATCTGGTTCTGATGTCACAATGACTACAATGAAGTAGCCAAGGCCAGTTTGTAGACAGTCCTCTTTTTTAGCAACAGCGCGTCAACGTAGGCATAGATTTAACATTAAAAATTATATATATACACACAGGTACAGTGGACAGAGTTTGTATGTGAAAATAACACAGAGAGCAAAGCTAAGAATTTGAAGTCTGCCAAACATTAGGATTGGGCCAAATCATTCGCTAGACCTACTACATATTAGTGTGCATTTATATAGCATTTATGCATAAGATTTCATTTGGATATGGAAAACTGAGCAAATAGCTTTTACATAACTTAAAAATAAACTCCCCCACACCCTCCACACAAAGCAGAGATCAAAGCCAGAAATAAATAATAATAAAAAACCACAAGATTTTCATCTTCCAAGCTTGTTTTAACTTTTGGAAAACGTCACCATTATGAATGCCAAAAGAGTCCTTGACAGGTCAGATATAGGAAAAGGGTAGCAGCAGTTATAGAAAAAAAGCTTAGAAATTATCTCCTTGATACAGGCAAAAAATAAAATGCCACATTTACCAAAAGGGAAAAAACCCATCACTACAAACTTTTGTAATAACTAAGCGCAAACAGAAACATTAAAAAAAAAAAAAACAAAACAACCTTGTTTGTTGACACTATCACTGTCACACTATCCCCATTGCTCCTGCTTTTTTACAGCCTAGCTGCATTTAAAATTGGAGAGCACCTGCCACCCGTAAAAGAGTTAAAGTGAATAATGTGTTTAAAAAACAAAAAAACTCACCCTAAAATAACAACTACAAAACAAAGAAAAAAAGGACCAAATCATCCTCCCCAAATAAACAGCACCAACAAAAACTAGAAATAACTAGCTGTCTTATGTTTGGCAGTCTCTACTCTTAGTTAATTAAATTAAAATTAAATTAAAATTAAAAATATTGTCAGAAAAGAAGCAGAAGTGTCATTTTCTCCAGCCTCGATTTTCTGGCTCTGTCTTTTAGAGGATACTTTTCTATTTGCCCAAGCTGTTTCTGACACTCCGCTAACTGTTTCCTTGTATGTGTGACAAGCAACGCCCAGCCCTCAGCAAGGTACGTTTTCAGTGCTCCTTGAAGATAGACCTCTGCTTTCTGTGGACCTTTCTTCCTCCTTTAAAAAGAAAGAAATAAAGAGTATGGAGTGATATAAGAACCTTTGTGGCCCTGAAAGCTTTCAACATTTTTTTTTTTTTAAAAAAAGGCAATGGAAGAGTAAAAGTGAATAAGAATGCAGAACAAAATCCAGCGAACCATTATGCTACTCACTTTGCTGGTAACTTACGTAGAACTGCAACTAGACTTCATATACAGATCTACCATCAAGTAAAGCAACTGAGGTGAGTGTCTCACACAAATGCATTTTCACGATACAGCCATCTCAAACTCTTCTGACAGTTAACTAAAAATATGCTACTCAACAATATTAAAGCAGGAAAATGCTTTAATAAAAAGCATTGTTTTATCACTGTACAATCACTCCATGGTAGTCTTTAATCTTATCTCCTCAGCCAAAGTTAATTTAGGAGGATCCATCGCAGCTAGAAGATCAGACTGGCTTAGCGAACCTATAGGAGAAGCATGTCCCAACATAAAAGGGCCACAAAACACTCATTACCCTCAAGTTATTTTAGATAAAAAACAGAAAGCCAATGCAACAGTATCCTTTTGTGTTTTAACTTTACTGTGGAATTCAACAGAATATCTTTGGAAATGCGCAATTAAAAAAAAAAAAAATCACTTGCAACTTTCACAGTGGGGGAAACAAAAACTTTTGCAATCATAACCTCAAACAGGAATATGAGTAGCCTCCAAAAACATATGTACAATAGACACACATATCTGTGTGTGTGTACATATAAAACCTCTGAGATGCTATACAAGTCAGAAATCGTATTAGATAAAAGCTTACAATAAATGCAAAGCTAGCTCTCCTAGTCTCTCCCCCCATTGCCCTTCTCTCCCCAGTGAGACAAAGGATCAAAATGAAGAACAGAGGATACTTATAGCGCACAAAGTTATGAGGCAAGAATTATGGTTTGATTAAAAAAAAAAAAGATTGCTGGTATTCCAGTTTTTTGGTGTAAGGCAGCCTGAAGCCTAGGAGATGTTTTCATGAAAATACTGTTATGAATCCCTTTTAAAATACAGTTTATTTTCCTCACAGCTTACAGTCAAGCTTTTCAGAAGTAATGCATTTAAGACATTTGAAAGATTCATTTACATATAAAATTCTGCCAAGTCCTTCCCAACAAGCTTAGCTGAACGAATTCTTCCAATATTTGTGTACATTTCAATGGTGGCATGGGATAGATCCTGTTTAAAAGAAAAGAAACAATGGTAAGGTAGTTACGTATTTTTAGTAGTTATATGGTATTTCACACAGAAACCCACAGCCAGTAACTAAGTTACTGCAACGAGTCACTTAAAAGTTTATTCCTGCTCCAACACACACTTTTGAAAAGTTTGCAACAAGTCAGCTTTACTTGTTATACAGTTGGTCATCATCCCATACCTCTATTATAAGTAGTAAAAAAAGCCTATTAAAAATATGATGAGGCAACTCAAACCCATAAAAATAAATTAGACACAGTTTTAAATAATTACTTGCACTTGAATCCTCCTAACTTTCTTGGAAAGCAGCTATTTCTCAATGACTACATCCCATCACTCTACCACTGCAGGCTAGCATAGTGCATCACTTCAGGATACACTACAGTGTATCATATTTAACACATCATTAGAGAGTTTGTCCTAGAGACTCACAATTAACACTTAAAACAAACAACAAAAAAAACACACACTTCAAGAAAACCTACATACAGAACACAATACATGATTCTTTCACTAAGGCTGCATGTAATGTAAGTTACAAACATATGTAAGTTTCTTCTTTAAGTGATATGCCAACACATAATTAAATGTTAAATACCAAGTAAAAGTCGGACTAAATATTTTCTCAAACATTTAAGGAATTTTCCTTGAAGTTATGCGATCTGAGTTGCAGTTTCACTGCCATCTTTAAGCTTAATTTCTCATGCAGCCACTATCTACATGCCATCTTCCTTAACTTGCCCTAAGCTTATAGCAGCAGCTACAAATCTCTTCCTCAAAGCTAGTGGTTTCAGATGCCAGTTACATATACACAAATAACCACAAACCTCTAAAATCAAGGCACAAGCCAACACACTTTTAGATGATTCGACAGTCTTACAGAAGATACTGAAGTTGTTGCCCAACACTAGCCACTGAAACAAGACAAAGCTTTCCTGGTACTAACAGCTCAAAACTTCCTGCTTTCAACATTTGTCAAGAGCTACATTTTACTATGCAGACTCACGATAATTTTAAATGCAAAGAGCTATCTTAAAATTAAAGAAATTTCCAGATACAGCTGTGTTTCCCTTCACTGAATACACAGATAAAACAAGGATGTGCATAAATTCTATATAATTATGTAGCAACTAGATAGGACAGTATCTGATCTCTACTTCTCTGAATTTCTGCTGCATAAAAACGCAGTCAGAAGCACAAACAGAAATGGCAATTCCATCAGTGGCAAGCTTCGTAGACCTGACTTAAAATTTCTTAAGTTTTGGAAGATTTTGCTGAAGTTAAGAGATCTGCAGGTGCAGGTTGGAACTGAACATGCAAGAACAGCTAGCAATTCCAAAATCTTAGTTTTGGTCCACCCACCCATCCAGTTTCATCAAAAAATAAAGAGTACAAGTGAAATCTGATATCCTCACACCAAGTCTTTTGAGACTTTTTCCCTTAACAACTTTATAAAAATAAGCACCACTTTATTTTCACATTAAAAAAACTGCTCAGTTTTCTTCCAACTTTTCACTTGGAAACGTTAAGGCCCGTAGTGCAACCACATGCAGTTTCAGACAAAAAAATTTTTGTCTATACATATACGTGTGTGTGTGTATATATATGTGTATTTATAAAAAATCCTCTTATGACAGTCATATTAAAAAAACAAAACTAAAAAGCAAACAAAAACCTCTCAAAACAATGACTCCACAATAAGGGAGCTGCCAGGAAATAACACAGGTATTAATGTGCAACGAGATTTTTTTAATCTTTCAACAATCTGTGGCAGCTCCAACCCCAATATCCACAGATGTCCCATAGTTTAGATAAGAAATTCAACAGTGGAACCTAAGTCACATAACACTCACTGCAAAATGAAAGTTTAAAACCTCTTTGAAAGAATGCTGGACTGACACACATCTATATACTTCTGGGGAAGACGTAAATAACTATGAATTTGGGATGGCAAAATATGGTTGCCAAAACATTGTCTTTTTTAATAACTGAGTATACATACTTTGGGATAATAACCTTCAGCCCTGTAAGAGCAAATACTAAAGTAAAGCCAAAAATTTCAGAGTTGAGGCCCAGAGTTGAGAGGTTTCCAGTTACACAACAAATCAAGTTTGGTGCGTTCAGACATAAAGCAAGCAATGACTTTGGATATCAACATGTAGATTTATGCTTTTAACATTAACTTTTCAGGTTTGGAAAACTTGGCCCTAATCAATCTATAAAGTAAATACCCCCGAACTATACTTACTAAGTAGTGTTTTTCAAAAGCGTCTACAGACGATAAGGCTTCTTTAAGTTTCTTATAAGGGCTCTGTGAGGTGTTGGCTTTGGAGGAAAAAAAAAAAAAAAAAAAAAAGGAGAACAAGAGGTTTTTTTTTTAAAGGGTCTGTGAGGGGTTGGGCTTTGGGGAAAAAAAAAAAAAAAAAAAAAGGAGAACAAGAGGTGTCACAAACACATTCCTATTTTAAACTACCCCCCCTCCCCCCTTTTTCACTTTAGCGGGAGAATACAACCTAAAACTAATCTTACATGGGAAACGTCACCAACACTTAAAGACAGATCACGAGTTTCTCCCCCGGATTCTAAAAAAGGTGAAGAAAGGCTATTTCACTTTTTCTGGTGTGCACATGGGATATACTCAGCGTAGCAGACTAAAGGCAAGCAGGAGTATAGCAACCATACAAACTTCTCCCTATGGCATTTCACGACATTCACCTCTCCAAGTACTGGAGTTTGGGGGGGGGAGGGATTTGTTTGTTTTTAAAGTTTCAAAGTACCCCTACATATACAGAACCGCCAACTGAACTCTTATCATCCCCACTGATGTATTTATACATCAGGTATTTAAGACAATGTGTTACCAGAAAGAATGCATACATTCCGGGTAGTACCTGTTTCAGGGCGTTCTGCTCCCAGCCCTGCTAACAGATCAACAGTTCTGTTAAGATCTTCTGAATTGGGCCCCTTCTCTGATGCAAGTCCACACAGATAGCCCAGAGATTTTAGCTAAAATAAAAAAGGCTATTAAAAAAAAATCAATATCAACCTCCAAAAACAAGCACCTGGTTCCTACCACACCACTCCTACAAGACAAGACATTTCCACGGGAAATACTGCTGTCATACTGTACTGCTTATATAAAACATGTATTAAAAGTTGCTTCTTGGGAAGAGGGTGGAGAACCTTTCAAAAAATCACTGCTTCTCACTTAAAAAGTAGAAAATTTTATTAAGAATTAAATTGTACATAACGTAAGTTACTAACATGCATATACACACACCCCTACCTTCATGCAGAACATTAAATCAGAATAAACCCTTCTATTTCTCCATATAAACATTACACAGAGAAAGCTTGAGATATTTGGCCGTTACTACCAAAGAAATTTCTAGAAACTGCATCTGTATTTCAGTATAAAAGTTTGAAAAACATATAATCAAGATACGCAGACATCCCCAGCACACAGACTACATGAGCGTGCAGGTTCACCTGAAGTATTGTACTCCAAATAAAAATCTTCTCGAATAACACTGTGAGCTGTATTGATCATCTGTTTAAGCTGAATAATAATACACAGCTACAATAAAATTCTTTGTGGACCACAGCTGGTATGCTTTATACCCTGAAGTTAGCAGAAGATCCCATCTTAATGGAGATCAGTTCTGTTGGTCATTTGGTAACTCATTCAGTGTAACTCAGTTACCAAGGTAAAACTTTTCCTTTTAAATAAAAAGGTTTCAGCTTGCCATACTGCTCTACATCATCTAAAAAGGGTGTGGCCATTATCTATTTTATTCTTTTTAATTCATTTTGTCACTATTTTCTCAATTCATTTCATTCACTCTGTTCCATCTTACTCCTACCCATTATCTTATAGTTTTTCCCTTTATCCTTTCTTCCTCCCCTATACAGCTCTTCTAACATATTCCCAACGCAAGTGCAGAGCTTCTTTAGAAATACACAAGCAGCAAGTGAAGGATCCGATTCATTCATCCTCGCTTTAAACATTTTGCTTGCTTCCTTTACTCTGATCTTTGGGCGGTCCCTCCCCTCCCTCTCTTATTTTTAAAAAGGGAGACTCTTTCTATGCTTTTGTAATACTTCTGGAGCTTCTTGTCATCTTTTTCAGTAGCTTGAAGTAACAACAGCTTTAGACATGAACTCTCTTATAGAAATAGAGTAAGTGAAAGTTGAAAACACGTTTACATAATTTGGGAAGGGGCTTAATCAAATTGAAAAGGGCTTTTTATAGCTTTCAGCAAAGACTTTTTCCACAGGTTATGCTAAGGTGCAGTAAGTGAAAAATTGTAAGTCATTACTTGTTTCTTCCACAAGCCAGCAAGCCTAACTTCTTCAGTAAAGTTAGATAACTATTACTGTCATAATAATATATGGAAGAAATAATGAATTATTTAAACAGATTACAGTAATCTCTAAAGTTCTGGAATAAAAAAGATTGAGAAAGGTAAATGCATCCAAATCGGTTGGCTTCTCCTGTAATAACTGAAATACATCCTCCTCCTCTCAGTTGACAGGGACTGTGAAAGTTTGAAACTATTTTGGATTTTAACTAGCACATCTTTATCAAACTAAGGAGGGAACACAGTGTGATGACATGAAACATTTCTTCCTATCCTTCGCTCCTCTAATGAGAGCTGAGCACACTGGTAATTCCAAAGCCTTGTCTGTCTGTGGAGAAGCAGAACATAAAACTGGATGTTTCACCTAGAATAGAGTCAAGACAATACACAGAAACATGCATTAAAGTTTCACAAAAAAGCGCACAATCTGTTCCACAGAAACAAGTGGTCTACTTCAAAATTAGAATGCTACTACTGCAACATATAAATTGCTCACCTTCTCAGTGGCATAGCTCCATAAACCAACTGTATGGGAAACATTCGCATCTATTTGAGCCCTATCACAGCAGCCTTCTATTCTTTGTAAGACTTCCAAGCAACTCAAAAATACCCAACAATCCAATGCTCCAGGAGGAACAGACACCTGAAGATGAAGAGAAAACATTAACTGGGAAAAAAATATTAGTCAGATCAGAAAATACTCCAGCATTATACTTCTCTTGATACAACATAACAGATCCTCTAAGATCAGCTTATTCTAAGATTACACAAAAATGGGCTAACTGTTCACTCCACCTGAATAACATACCTAAATTGGTTCATAAAGCAAGGTTGGCTAAGCAACTAAATGGTGATCATGCTAATTACATTTGATACACTCATCAGGATGAAAGCAAAGGAAGAGAGAACTAATAGACATTAGCGCTGAGAAAGTTTCCAAAAAGTTAGAAAATAATCCTAAGGAAAGCAGAGTTAGAACAAAATTCTATATCTGCAATACTTTTATAAGGATACACCTAACCTATTACAGAATCAGAATGTGTGCTAAGAAGCAGATTAAAAAAAAGACAGAAATGAGTCTAAGGTTCTAAGCAGAAAGAAACATTATAAAAACTGGTATAACTAAAGATCTGGAACACAATCAGAATAATGGTGTCTCAAAATTTTGTTCACAGACAATACAAAAAAATTTGGGGGGGGGGGGGGCATATACACATGTGTGCATATATACATAAACGATTATGTAGGGGAATTTCAAGTCTATTTTAGAGCACATGAACGTTCCATTTAAAATGGCAACAAATTTGAGGTAGATTCTCCATTTTTAAATGAGGCACGCTAACCCACGCAACTTACCGCACAGTATCTTAGGCAGACAAAAGTTAGCAGGTACTATTAAGATGGCATAGGCAAAACTAAGAGAGAATCATAAATCCACAGGATTAAGGATACGCATGAGTTACAAGGTGAAGTCCAGAAATACTCTGCTGGACATTATATTGTTTTTAAGAAAGTATTTCAATTAATATCTATCTGTGGTCATACATGGGGGATAATTAGAAAACGACATCCTTTAAAAAGCCTGTTCAGAGGGTTAAAAAATACCAGTAGAAACTAAAGTATAAGAAAAATATCTTTGAGGCATGCATTATGACAATAAAATCCAAGTGCAGTCACTTTTTTCTGTCTATTCCTTTTATTCTGAAAGGATGAGATAGCCAGCGACACACGCAAAACACTGAGGAGCATTAGTTGGCACCAAAAGGAATCATCAGTTCTGAACCACAAAAGGTGGTCAAAACAGCGACCAACTGACATGGCAGTAAGAAGCACTACTGTAGATATTGTTTATAGTTCTGAACTGCATTTTGTTACTGCTAGCCTCAATGTCAAGATATTAATCACCCTGTCCTCATTTTTTTCACTAGAACACTGTACATGGATTCAAATTTTTGGAAATATAGTTCAAGAGATCAGTAATAAATGCAGGAAAGCAGCAAATAAACTATCTACCAGCCTCAGAATAAGAAGTTAACCTTCTGGGTGAAAACTAGAATTCTCTAAATACAGGTTTGTTTTTTTAGTCGGGATGAGATGTCTCTAAATTCCTTTCCAGAGACATCCTCATGATAAAACATTCAGTTTTAGCCCTGTTACAATCTGAAACGCCTGCTATTACAGCATCATTTTGACAACTCATAGCCATGCTTATTGTGTTCTGGTCAGCAATTCCTAAACCTAAAAAAAATACTGTTTGGTCATAAGGGGGTAAAATCATAAATAATGGAATATATTGCACTGACTCACTTCTAATAACTTGAGTTCTTGCACACAGTTGTGAAGGAGCTCCAGTGCTCGCTGGGAAACCTCCCAGGGTCTCTGCAGGAAGATTAACAACGTGCACTGGCGAGAAAATAGGTAGCTACGCAAGTCCAGTAGAGTAGCTTCTTGATTCTGAATTAGCTCTCTCTTCTCCATATCTATGGGTTTTCGGAGAATTAATCCATTCCAGCTCCTCACTGGCTGGCAAAAAAAAGTCAGCCAATTTGCACCATCTAAGTAAACAGAGTTAATATCCAAGAATCAATCGCTGCTTTCAATCCAAGCCTTTTTTCTCTCCCCCCAGAGGTTGGAAGCTGGATTCTTACGTCACTTTTCTATACAATAAGCTTAATGACTAAAAAAAAGAACTTCCATAGCTAAGTGGACACCTGAATTTCATAACATTCAAACTCCAAGTACACTTTGCCTTAACTGCAACTTTGTTATTAGTATAGTGGCCATCAATTTATAGTGCATTTCTCTAATTAAGCCTACCTGAAGTTCAAAACAAACAAGCTTTACCTATTTCAGTATTTCTTACTCAGCCTTTATTGATAGATGTGCGCTCACTTTCAGGCATGGCCTCCGGTTCAGTCAGGACAAATACATTTCACTGCAATTATTCCAGCACTAGAATTTTAGCATAGTCGTAGCAAGTTCCTTACTCAAGTTATTACTTAACAACACATGCTTTAGTTCAGTAAAATACAGTTTCTAATTATTTGATACTTCTTGCACAATAATTTTTCTTGAAGCTAAATGAAATCTTCTGTAGTTCAGATAAGCACACAGTTGGTAATCACTATGAGACTGAATGAAACTTCTCATGTAACCTAAATAAAACCCAGATGCACTTACTCAGGAAGCTTTTTATTAAATAACTTAGCAGTGAGCTGTGAGAACAGCAACTGTATCCCAGCCAAATCAATCCTTAGATAATTACAGGTTCAGGGTCCCTTTTGTAACAGTTACCGAGTAAGAACAAAAGGCGAGTTTTCATTAAAAATTACTTTTAAGCCTCAGAGATGAAAAATAAAACTTTAAGTGAGTAAAACTGATGTCCACATGAGTTTGTATACTGCATAACGCAAGAGCAGTAATTCACTGTAATTTACGATCTTCCTACTCTCACGTAGGTGGTATCCAAAGCACTGGCTTGTTTTAGTAGGAGTATAGTGAAGAAACTAACACAGTTAATACTTACCGGTTTCGGACACTTACCACCAGCCCCAAAGTTGACAACATACTGAGAAAACAAGGCATCCAGTTCATCGTACTGCACTAGCGCATCCTCAAATTGCTGCAGCATCTCAAAGACAAAGGCCAGTTCTTCCTTTTGACAAGCAAGTAATACAAACAGCATGCTAAATATTAGTTATGTTTTGTATTAAAACCTGCCTCCATCCACACAGAGATGCAGGAACCGTATTTTCCATTTTTCATCCCCTTCCAGGGCTCACACACAAAGGATAATTTGCCATTTTAACTGATGCATCATTTCCTCCTAACACAAAAAGGTTCAAAGGAAGCTACAGTTACACACCTCAAACCTAATTCTACTGTGTATCCAGATCCTGAGTCACTGCAAGATACTGTTGATAAAGCTATTAAAAGTTTGAGTTTCAAAAAAATGCTGAAGCCTCATCTTCCATAATAGTTAAAACTTGTTCTTTCCGATTACACTGTGAGGGAAGCAGCTGCAGCATCAACAAAAGTTCAGTTAAGTACAGAGAAGGGAGCTGAAGTTGCTGGTGTAAAATGTTTGAGGGGTATGGATATCTCACATGCAAGAGGCAGTGCGTGAAGTCAAAGGAGATAGGAAGGTGAGATAGAACTAGTGAGGCGAAAAACCGTACAGGCACCGGACAAATTCAAAGGAATCAAGATTTTCAGTTCCACTGCTCAAGAATATCTTGCTTTTCTCTACATCAGCTAAAATAAGACATATTTAGAAGCATAAAAATCTGAGACTCAAGGACATTCTCTACACAGAATTACTTCAAAATAGACTTTTCTCTGAAAACAATCTCCAGGCATACTGATATTAATCTAATCAAAGAAAGCATAGTAATATTCCCATTATATAGCCATAACAAGTTTGAGCGTCTTTGCACAGTCACAAAAATAGAATATAAATCTAATATTCAAGAGCAACTACTAAAACACTTTATAGACACTCCTTGAGTTTGCTAGTCTAGGTTCATAAAAGTTGACACGTCTGAAAAGATTCTGTACAGAGTTACAATGAAACAGAAACCTGCTGCAAAGAAGATCTGAAAAATGCCGCTTTTATACTAGTCCATCTTTTTTTTCTCCTCCCCCCAAACAATAAACAGAACATAAAAAACGCACACAGAAAAATAGCCAACAATTACAAAAAAGCCATTATTCAAACTAGGACTCAAGCGCTTTGTTCTTCAAAGGGAGACTCTTACCTGGACCATGAAATACTCGCAGAAGCTCCAGCCTGGCTCAGTTCTTTTCTCTCTCAGAGTTCTCATGTCATCTTCAAACTTGCCTAAGTTTTTGGTGAAAGACATGAGAAGCAACGTCCTGAGTTTGGTCAGGAAGGCATTCCAAGATTCCTGAGAACGGGAAGAGTCTTTCAAAGGGTCAGAAAGTACCACACATCTGTAAAGAGATTGATTAAAATTATTTTGGGGGAGGTATAAGACATAAAATTCACATATAAAAATCATATATAAATACACATCCAAATACTCTGCACACCTGACTGTATTCAGTGGACAAAAATGGGGATTTTCATGCAACATTAACTGATAAAAAAAAGAAAGAGAAAAGAACAAGAAACAAGGTCAGTAACTTTTTTCTTCTCCATAAATGCTATCGCAGCCTTAACATACTCAGATGAGAACAAGCTTTACGTGCTTTCCACAAAACGGATGTTATGTTTACTTTTTTTTTTTTTTTTAAAGTAAATAATGGCTACATTATTTTAATTACTTAAACAAAGGTAAGGCTACAGCTATGCAAGGAAAAAAATATTTGCTTAGAAATGCAATTAGCAGAACAGTAACTATAGTTACTCTTGGCAAGGATTATACTAGATGGAAATCAAGATCCATTAGACCACATATAGCCAGCTTTTCCTATGTCATTTAAAATTATTCTTCATAGCATATTCTTGCAAGACACCAACTTATTTTACACATTCTGTATGCTAGATAAGGCTAAAGTTTACTCAGAATATTTCCCTTCCTTAGTTTTTCCTACTACTGCACACACAAACACACACAAAAAGGAAGAATGAATGTCTCCAGAGACAGGAAAATCCCTCACCCAGGCAGAACTCCATTCCTAGTTAGAAAAATCATCCTATCCTATTGCAAAATGTTTAATCCAAGCCAATCAGTTAGAAATCAAAGCAAATCGAACAAACGTTGTTCATACTATTTGCCAAAATAATACTGTAACATACCAATACCATCTAGATACAAAGAAAGTGCTGCCAAGGTACAGCATGTTCCAACATGATGACTTGCCAATCACTGTCAGCTTACACTAAGGTACAACGAGTGCTTTCATCTACCCTTTTAACTTCAAATATTTATCCTGTCATTCATTCTTGTGAGGAAAATCTTCCATTTAAAGTTAATTTTTGAGATAAAAAAGGAAAACATAATGCAGAATCCATTCTGTACAATATTTTGGAATAAGGAAGAAAGTATTTATTAGAGTTGGTTTCAGATTAAGATTTCGGTATTCTGTTGACTTATAATAAAAGTAGGAATGGTTTCATAGTTATTTTCCTTTGAATAAAAAAAGACTTAAGAAACAGGACTTGAAGCTGGATTTTCCACTTTGTGGTCGAGAGTTGACTAAGTAAGAGGTAGAAAGAATAGTAGTAAAAAATAAGCCCTTATTGGCTTCATATTCCCCTCCCGTCTCATTCCAACTACCCGTAGTTCTGGTAACATTTTTTTTTTTTTTTTTTTTTTTACAAGCGCCTAAACATACAAGAAAATCTGAAGCTCTAAAAACAAATTGTTACTACCCTTATCGTCTTAACTCTCTTAACGAGACAGAGGTTTCAGTATACTCAAAAGGTTTTTGAAACAGATTCAAAGCAATCACTACTCCAAGAGCAATTGAAAATAAAAATTCCCCTTTATTGCTTGTATTCATCTTCTCCAAAGCATAGGTTTAACGGTAGCATCAGTTTGAATGCTGGACATCAAGGAAGGTCTTTAAGTGACCTAGGAGCCTGTTATACAGGAACCCGCACTTTTAATCAATCAGCAAGCTAGTCAAAGGTTAAAGTGTCTGCAAGTAAAAGAATCCTTACCTGTCACTTTGTTTGTTACAGAAGTCATTTCTTATTTTATCGACTATAGAGGTTCGGGGAAGGATATTTGTTTTGTTCTTCTTCTTGGCATCACTCTCAACTACTACAATTAGCCAGTCCACTGAGCTGTTAGCTTTGAGAACGTTCTGCCACTTGGTGATGTCATCCTTGACAGTAGCTTTGTACACTTCCGTGTCCTAGGATAAGCAGCAGTGAATCATCAAAACAAACACTCTGAACAATTCCAAAAGGTAAATTTTGTTCCAATAGAAGAAAAATATAGAGGAATATCATATGGAATTAGTGAAAATGAGAAATCAAATGAGTCTAAGTATGGTAAGCCTCGTTACAGGCTTTTAGTTTCTTTTATTCCAAGTATTTTGGTTAATAGCATATGTATCTTGGTATTTGGCATAGTATAATTCTTTAGATTACTGAAATTAAGAGTCTAAAACTCTTAAATTCTTTTACTTGATATGTTCTTAAACTTTACAACATAACCTACTTTGACATTAGAAAGCTTAACCATTCTGTTCTCACATTCCAACAGAACTGTGACATTTGAGCCTTCTAACAGCACTCAAATCTTAAACCATTTAAAGTTATTACAATCAAAAAACCCCACACAAGTCTTCCTTATTGCTTAGCGCTTTTTTGACATTCAGGTTGTTTTTAAATAGTTCAATTCAGAAAACTCTTAAGGCTGTTCTCAATAGCTTGGGTTGGTCCTACAGAGGTGTCACCTTTGTCCTTTAATTGTGCAACTAATTCACAACAGAGGACAACCACCAAGCAGTGAACTGCAGATAAACAGGATTAAGACATTCCAAATCTTGCCCAGTTTAGATTGCTGACCAGTACTAACACCAGATACATAGAGAAGACAAATTAAAAATATATATATTTAGGTTTAACCTAGTCAGTAGATCGTAACTGAAATAATCTGGTCACATTTTCATACTATGAAGCATGTGTGCTAGGCTACTGCAGTAACACTGTTAGATCTCAGGGGTTTTGTACCAAAGTACTGAAAACTGGTTATTCAAAAGCATGTCCTCTCAGTGTCAAGCACTGTTACCAACAAACACCACTTATGGTAAAAAGTACTCCAGTTGACAAAGTTTCATACACACTGAGTACACATGCTTATGCAACATGGACTTCATTGTTCAAACAAGCATGAAAAGCAAATGAAAAATACCACAGAGGGCAAGCAGAAAGTCAAAACAATTTCATTTTTAAATCCAAGTACTCCGTCTTTCATGATATTTTCCTAATACTTACACAACATTCTGTCCAATAAATATGAAGAAAGGGAAAGGTCAAAAGAGCCTTATTCCCCTCTTTGGGTAGTAGCTCCTCTTTAAATTGAACAAAGTTAGATTCTAGATGAATCATCTTTGGAGCACGGCCATAAGACCTGAAGAATTTTTAAAGTGGAGTTAGTGAACGAGACATTTATGTAGCAGAACACAAAAATGAAAACGAATTTTGGTGAAGAATAAACTGAAATGTGCTGGCATTGGAAACTCACTAACTATGCTTACTGCCACCTGACTTGTACAAAGTTAACTAAAATTAGATACCACCTGAAATACAGGAGAGACTCTTAACAAGAACAGGACCTAAAAGCTTTCCAATTTAATTAAAAGAATGTTCTATACCTCTAGGTCCTCCAAAAATAGAAAAGTTCCAAAATAATCAAATTCCCAAAATAGTTTTTCCCACCAGAAAAGTGAGCCACAGTGAACTGTTGGCAGGAAGTTATATCTGATTTCATTTAAATTCTGTCTAAATTCTCATAAAAGAAACAGCCTGTTACTTTCAGAACACGACCGTCTGAAGCACAACAAGCCATATACCAAAACAAACAAACAAAACTTCACTTAAAGAAAAGTTGAAGCTCAGCATAACTGAAACGTGTAAATCACTGCCCTCAGGTGCTCCACATTTGATAACCATGACTAAGGTCATCTTTCCTCAACTAAGTTGCCATATTCTACTCAATTCATGGTAAGAACTTCTTAGGGCACTACAAATACACACTTTCCAAAGTCTAGTAACACACATTGAGTATTAAGGAAGAAAATTTTAATTTACCTCCTCCATTCCATCGGTTCTCTTGGAAGCTGCTGAGAAAGCGTAGGATATAGGGAGGTAAATAAATTCTGATCTCCAGCACCTAAGAGTTAAAGACGTTCATTCATTACACTATGTACAAATTACAGAAAATATTAATAAATTATGCTATAGTTGTTTTCAATAAACAAGATGTTATTTGGTCAGCTACGTGGAAACCAAAGCCTAGCACCGAGACTTTTTTTTTTTTAAAGTCACATGCTCACACAGCATACAACACTTTACAACAAGACTAATACAGCACACTAACAAGATACATAATAAATATACTGTTTTATAATTCCTATTACAATTTTCCACGTTATTACATAACCATATACCAATGAGAAAAGTGCACTCTTAGGAAGCGAGAATATCACCCATATAGCTGGTCCAACGCTAAAAAACAAACAAACAAATAACTCTTCAGTCAGAGTCAGTAGCTAAACACAGTACATTTAAAGACCTCAAGATTTTAGTTTTAAAAAAACCCAGAAAGCTGGTTAGACAGTGGTTCACATCTTTGTAGCTGTGCCTACCATGAGAAAATTAGCAAAATTCTGTGCCTTACCAGATTCAACTACTCTTCTCCCTCTCTCCCCACTATTCTGGGGACGCTGTAAATAACAGAGTGGCTCCTTGCCCGCTGTAGGCCTGTGCTTGCTGCCTTCAGAAAGGTCAGGTCCATTAACAATATGCAGGTCCCCTTGAGCTGGTCCTACACAGATGCAGCAACAGATCTGGCTAAGCTTTAATCACTTGGGCTTTGTGCCACACTTGAGCACTGAGACAACTCACAGGTTGTGAGCAACTGCATTAAATCAGTTACTCCAGTGATGTTCTATGTATAAAAAAAGAAATAGAACAAAAAGTATAGTCCACCACACAAAAATATGTATTATCAGGAGCCTACCGATACCAACTCTTAAATTCTGTTCTTTTCTTTAAAGTGCTGAAAGAAAATGATAGGGAGATAGGTTCAAAATAAGTCTTCCAACTTATGATGGGTACCGGTACCAGTATCCCTGAGTAGAGGGATAGTAGTCTGAGGAACAAAGTGCTTTGTCAGACATATTTGAAAACAAGCTGACTAGTTCAACACACCAGCAAACAGTCTTTCACGATCCTTAACAGGGGAAGAAGTGGCATTTGACTACTGGCCAACAGATGCATCCAAATGAGAAAGAAGTTAAGGTCAGAAACATGTTTTCCACTCCACTCCAGCATAGCTCTAAAATCTGTTATGTCATGTGCACTGTCTAAAGCTGGGGTAATGATCTGGCCCACTAGTTTAGCAGTATCACTTATTAGATCTCTCATCTGCATGTTGCTCTGAAGTTATCATAGCTATTGCTCTCTTCCCCATACTTCCTCCTCACTGCCTTTTTCATCTTTGCCTGGCTGCACTCCCTCTACCCCAGACCACAAATTAATAGAAACCTTTTATTTCCTCCTAGAGAGGCTGCATTCATTCCACTCTCCCTTCTTTTCCTTCCCCCAGGATCTCTGGAGCTGAAGAGTTATATTTTCCAGTTAAGACTTTAAACAGGTATACAAGCAACTCTGCTAATTCCTGGCATTTGTCCTTCTGTTTCCTTTTGTAGTCATTCTCTGTTGCATAGCTCAACCTGAACAGACAGATGCTCTTATCTTTCTGTGAAACAGGGCACTATGACTGGAGAGGTACCTGACTTCCCTTCTTCTCCTTCCCATCACACAATCACATATCCTGGCACAGAGCCAGAACTACTTGTGCAGGAGCTTAGGAAGTCTTAATTTGTTTTAGAAACCCTCTTCTAGACCACTCACCTTTTCCTAATCTTCTTACATATACTATTTTGATTACTGGCCATTAGTATAATTATCACTGCATAATAATAATAATAAAAAAACACAGTCTGAGTTTAAAAGCTACAATAAGCAAAGCCAGATTTTTTTTAAACCTCTGCACACAAAATCTATTATTCAGTGATACAGTTTCCTAAAATAGCTTAAAAAAAACCCTCTACTATTAGTGCTTTAGTCTTAAGTCTCCAGAGAGGTTCAAAACAAACGTTTTATTCTCGGCTCTTCACCTGCATCTTATTCCAAATTACCATACCAAATCTTAAATTTAAGACTATAAACAAATGTCTAAAATAAATAGTGAAACAAATGTTAATCGTTCTGTTACCTTATACCAAGTTACAATATCGCAGTGAGCTAGGCCTGGAGAACAGTCTATTGATTTGCAACTTATTACTGCCTGTAGAAAGTGAAATACAGCTCAGTGGTTTAGCAACAGCATGCTGACCAGATCAAATGATAATCCATGAAGCTTGGAACCCAAACTGAAGCAGCAGTTTATATTTTACCTCTGGAGCTTAACAAAATACTCTTTCTATACTGCCCCTAAAAATCCAACAGGTGCCACAAAAAAAAGGTTCCAGAATTCAACATCTCGAGTGAAAAGGGTTGATCCAGAATACAGAGGAACTACTAAATAGTGATGTTTAAGCATCCTGCTATTACAGATAACCACATCAGATTATCAATTTAAGAAAAAATAAATTAGTTTTAAAACCAGTTAGGTTGTTTTTTTCCTCCTGAGCTGGCTTTCAAGATATAAAACACACAAAAGAACATCTCTTATGATCAAGGCAAGACTGTCCTCAAGAATTAGAGGAAAAGGAAGAATGGACCTACAATTCAAAGTACATTGGATATCTCTGAACACAGAACAAATATTTCTATAAAATATTACAAAACATCCAAAGAATTACAAGATTTGAAGTTCTGCTCAACTGGATCCTATATCTACTGTAATCAGTAAAATTGAGCCAACTCACCTCGAAAAGCATTAAAAACGAAGTTATCACTAGACAAGATTAACACAGTATTGACACAGGACAAACATCAAGACGACTAGTTAGTAATGCGAAAAATGTAAAAGTTTTCTTGCGTGTAACTGAATTTTGGAGACAATGCTCTGAAAACACAACTAATCCTGGACTTCAAATTTACAGTAAATCCAAAAGCCTGCAGAAAACTCAGAATTGCTTCAAAGGTTTTTTTTTTTTTTTTTTCTTTTTAAGAAAGAATAATGTGGCAGGATGCCTAAGCACCATGCTATCAAAGCAAGTTCATGTCAGTGGATGGGTCTCAACACTCAGTCCTCATTTGAGGAATTTTCAGTAATGGAGGAAAGTCACTCCTAGCCAAAGTACAAAGGAAGACCAAATATTGTTGAGGAGGATGGAAGATGTGTATACATGAGAAAGAAAAGTAATTCTGGAATCCTTTCATGGCTAAAACAGAGAAGCCTACTACAAAAGGGTTTTCTTATTTTAGAATTGAAAGAACAAAACACCAGACCTCAGTTTCCCAATAGAAATGATAACTGGGGGGGTAACATGAAGGAGTCATCCTTTACCACTGAAAACAAGATTGGAAGGGCACATCTTTGGTTTTACTATATTCTTCCAAGTTTGACTAATATAAGTATTTTATAAATAAAATAATATCAGATATAACTATGTAATATTTCATCTATTTCATCCCTACCCATTTACACATTTTAAAAATATTTTATAGTTTTTCTAATTTGTAATATAAATGAACACATCTTTTCAGTTTTTCTTTGTTTTTTTTAATTTGTTTTCTTTTTTTGTTTACAGTAGAAAAATCTGTCAATCCATAGCCTCTGGGTTACAGATCACCATCTCAGCTTTTGTAGCAGGTATGTCTCAATCCATCCACTCCCCATCTGGATATCAATGCGCATACAACACAAGGAAGCACAGAATTATCCCATACTTGAAGTGGCATCAATTACAGAATTACTTCAAGTGAAGCAAAGTGTTAACCCTTAAATTCACTAAGTAAATAATAGAAAGCAATAATATTCAAATGATATAGCTTAGACAAACACTTCTGGAGAATGGGAAGAAAGGAGAGAGCATGCAGGATTCCTTTCTTTCCACCATATTAAGCTTTAGAAGGCATGCCTTCACCGTGTATGAAAACACTTAGCAAACAAATCAAGACAAACGGGTATCTGTCCAAAAAACAAACAAATGAAGCATGGTGGAACCTTAAAGGGTTTTACCATAAGCCTTTTTCAAACACCAAGTCAGACAGCATAATTTAAAAACACTTATATGGCCTTCAAACACTTGACATCCATCAAATCGAAGTCCAAAACGTTAAGATGGCCAGGACAGGCAAAAAAGGAACAAAACTTACCCACGTGAGTCTTGATTGTGAACCTGACCGTAAAAATTCATTACATAAACTCAGTAAAAATTATCTAAATCTACTGTCCAGAGCACGCTGTATCTCTATAGAGCAGCTCATAACCATAAACCTCTGCTATGGAAAAATTTTAAAACTATGTTAAGCCAAAAAGCGAAATGGGCAACTAACATCCATTTAATTAGTATGAAAGTACCTGCAGTTTAGGTTATAGCATAATGCCAAGGTGAGTGAGCACCCTAGTCAATATAGCTCCAGAAGACCAGGTGAAGGTTCAAACTGCCCATTAAACTCATATGCCACCAGCCCCACCTTTCCCTTTTCTCCATTCTTCCCCTTTTATCTTTCTCCTCGATGTTCTGGCAGATGGAGTCAAAGCAGCCATCCTCCCATCCCTCCACCTCAGTCCAATACACCTGATCTGATGGAAATCTATATGGGAATGAGGCAAGAACCAGAATGACAATCTCGCCAGGATTCCCCCCCAAAAACAAGCATTTACTTTGTGACAGCTGTCTGATATAAAACAACAATAAAATACTGGCACTTCTTAGTTTGAGGATTTTGGTGGTTTTAGGCATATATCAAGAAGCCATTGTTTTTTTCTAACTCTCCATAAATTCTAGATGTGTGCAGGCTTTGTCACCTATTCAGTATCTGAATATACCACAATTTAATATCTTCCTCTGGAAGAAATTATTCTAACCCACTAACAATACAGGCAGTGTGAGAAGAACAGACTCTTGATGTCAGATGACTAAGGCAGGCAAACATTTTACTTTGATAACAACAACAAATCCTATGGACTAAGATAAAAGGCTCCAAGCACCTCTAAACAAGCTCAATCCAAGATTACACTTTGGCACAGGCTTATTTTGTTCTTATTGCCAAACATCACTCAGGGTTATCTTTTCTGATGAGACGTATTTTCCTTTTGGTAAAAAGTTCTGCTATGAATGCTTCAAATTCACTAGCCTATTATAAGCAGATTCACCTGAGGGTTTGGAAGGGATTTTTTTTTAGTGTTTCTTCCCCTGCTGCCCCTCCCCTTTAAGGTTCATTTTTCAAAAAAAGGTCTAAAAATTGAAGCAGGCGACAGCTAGATTGCAGTGTGAAGTCTCACTTGATTCACTAGGAGCCCGCAAACGAAAAATCTTTCATAAATCTTTAAATCCTTACTTCCTACTACATCACTAAATCTAGAAATAAGGAGCATGTTTCTTCTTCTTATGACATATGTAATCAGATCTATACCTACAGAATAACATTGTATCAACTAGAAAACAAAACTGACCTACAGGTATACAGGAGTCATGTTTGCGAAGACGGAAAATACAGATATACATACGATATAGGTTGGTTTGTTTTAAGGGTCTTACCAGCTGCAAACCATTCCAAGCACTTGTACCAAACAAGAAGTAACATGTAGCCCACCTTCTATTACCTCTGTCTACTAATAACAGAAGAACTTTGAAACAAGATCTTCCAGTAATAGAACAGGATCTTTTAATGGTGAACGTTTATTTTGCCTGCAAAACGACATAAAACTCTTCCTACTTCCCCTTTAATCGAATTCATCTTTTCTGTTTATGCTCATCTTATAGATATTGGCAAAGGGTTTCCATTCTCAGGCCTGTAACAACTCTTCTGATGGCTTTGCTCCTGCTGTATGTATCACAGCATCCTCTCAACAAGAAGGATTAGATGAAAGTGGTACATCCTACTCTCTCTACAAAGAGACATATTAAGGGATACAAACATTTCTTTCTACTTGGACAGAGTACTTACTGACAGTGAGAATAAATATATATTTGGCACATACAACATATAAACAGATACTACAAACCAATATGGAAATTGTAAGGACTACATGAAAATAATTGCAAAAAGAGTAACTTGGTAGGGAACCTCTGAAAACCTATTAAATTACTTCATTTAGCAGGATCATCTGAGCCTTCAACCTGCTCTTTGTATGGATAGAAGACAGAGCTAATAACTTAAACACAAATCAACCAGGTAAGGACACACTATTTCATTCACACCCTTGGCCGATACCTATTTGCAAGAAACATTCATTCATATAATCTCAGAAAGTCTTTGAAATATTAAGTTTCAGACACGATTCATGAGAACTAACACTGTTTAGATTTTCAAGGAAGGTAATTTGCATTGTTTAAAAGATTGCCAGCTCATCATTTCAGAGAAAATACCTCAGTTTGTGACATCTGATGCAATTGCTCAAGTTGCCTTTTCCCAAAAAACAAACAAAACAAACCCCACACCATTAATGATGCTAAAAAATAATACTTCTACAGCAATAGGAAAGCTCAAAACTGACTCAAATCACTTAGTAAACATACAGGTTCTTGTAGCAATGAAGATAAATTGGTACCAACTTGAAACGACAGTTTGAAAGGCAACATGCCAGAGTGAGCGTGACCACAGCTGGACAGTGAGGCTCCCCACTGGGTTCACAATGTAGTAAAGACTGACTGTATAAAAATTCAAACTAATTTGGAAAGGAGTCATCATGGCCTTCAGACCTAACTGAGAAGAATGGGGTACTGCCATTTTGAGAAAAGGGAGAAAAGATAAAGGAACTGCATCCTTCTGTGAATATATTAGTTTTTCACACTTACAAAATATGGTATGCCCAAAGAAAATTTTCCTAAAAGTTTTTAGTTAGGCAATTTTCCTAACTGAAATCCATTAATCTAAACTTTATTAAAAGCTATTTTTTCGCCAATAATACAGACACCATAAATATAAGGCTAATACACCTACATACAAAGCCTTAGGCCAAAATTATTACATCGCAGTACTTACATAAGAATGTAGTGACAAAAACTGCATTCACAATTGTCAAATACACAAGCTGTACTGAGGTTGCCATTTTAACTTCTGCAGTCCCAAGCCAGTACATACAGGGAAACTTAAGACTGTTTTGATGGAGTTGCCATGCCAGTGATATCTTTTACAAACATACACCGACAGCCCACCATTCTTAAACATCAGAAAAAATATTTTTGCTGTATTTCAGTATAGGATACTGAGTCTACAGAATATCAGTCCTAGTCTTTAGAGTCTATAGAAGCATATTACAGATGGAAAGAACAGACAAATAAAGACTGCCTTTACAAAGAAAAAAAAAATTCTAAACATAAGTATTAGTTGTCAGTTATAAAGTTTATTTTCATCTTTCTTGCTTGTTAGCGTTTCTGAGCAATCATCTCATCTTGCAAGGTATTTTATCTTATAAGTTAGCATTTGCTCCTAAACATATTTTTTTATAAAACACTAAAAAAAAAATCTTTGAGGTAAAGAAAAAAAAATTTACCTCCGTATTAAGTACATTACTAATCTAACAAGTTTGAGAAGATTTCTGTTCTTCACTTGGCAGTCAAGATGCTAAGAATAGGTATCTACATTATCCTACCTACACTCCCCTTGAAATTTATATTTCAGGGAACAGATTTGAATTCTTTCTTAAACTGTTTTGCAAGCTTATTCCAACAGTTGCTGCCTTTTTGTCCAGCAGAGAGCTGCAGTTCTGTTAAGGAGAAAATTTTACAACTGTGAAATAGCAGGTGTCCAGATACACTCATCTTCCATTCTGATGTGGGTTTTTGTAAGTGAATTACAGAAACACTACTCAAACGCTCCAATTCTGAATAGGAGCAATGAAACGCATTAGCGCCTTGGAAGTCCGACCCTCCTTCTACCCCTAAGGACTAGGGGATTAGAAATCCAAGCTTAAAGTTTTGAACATACCTGTGGGCCAAGACCTACTTACCTATCCAGAAAAAGATAACTGTTCTAATCTAAATACATCTCCATGTTAAGCATAGAGTACATCTGCGAAAGTCTACAGGGGAAGTTCACTTGAAAATATACTGAAGTATCCATAGACCAGCATAAACTTAGTAAGAGAATTATCAACATTAAGGAACAAATAATGCTGAATTCAGGATCTTACCAATATAGCAATTAATTACTTATTTTACAATACAGACTAACTCACAGCTTTGAAAGCATGGCTTCCTGCGCCAGTTTTGTCCTAAACAGAAGCACTGTTTTCAGAGTATTCTCAAATTTATTGGAGGTTCATGAGTTACAACGTACAGTAAAAGCATTTGTTTACAGAATATCACTCAGATATGCATGAGGTTGAAAATAAGTTTCATTCATTCAAAAAAAAAAAAACAACTCTCAACAGTTTTCAATTATTAAAAGTAACTAAAAGTTAAGAGAAGTACATCATGGTATGAATTTTTACTTGATAGAAGCAAACCTAAAACTGGTAGTAAAAGGAAATACTTATAGTTTGAGATACAGCCTCACTTGACCTTCATTCTTCTTTCATATAGTTAAAAACTGGTCTCTCCTTGCAACTCTGGTTTTCCCCTCACGTACACCTGCTAGGTGGGACAGTCATCCCAGACTGCTTGAAACCAGGACAACAAAACAAAAGCAAAGCTGTATTTGTCAAGCAGCTCCTAATGCTGAGGTTTTGAATGCGTCTTCCAAGAAATCAACACTGAACCAACAATTCTTTTCCTGGAAGACCAAGCTTCAACTGTTTATAAATTGCCTGCAGTATAATTGTCAGAAAATTCCCTCAAATAAAAGTCATAATTTTGTGGAATGCATTTTTTGAAATTCCATAGCCTCTAAACACTCCTCTCCTCTGGATGAAGGAGGAAGGAAGTAAAATGTGTTGCCACCACTAAAAGCAGAGTTTTTAGTCAGGGGGAGGGAGGAGTAGCAAGTCACCATTACTACATTCAACAGAGAAGTCATCTCTTTTGCTCTATCAGCTTTATATTATGAATTCAGTTGTCTCAGTTCAATCCCCATCAGTAATGATACTACTGTCATGCTTGTTCATAGCTCCAGAAATGATTTCTTTAGTCCAGTAGTGAGGCATGCAAATGATTAACATAACGTTCACCTCATACCCCATTTCTAGATATGCTGCTATCATATCATATTGTAATGATTCCAAAACCTTTTGTAAACACAAAGTAGATTCACTATATGAAATTAATAATTATTTTTAACATCCGATAATTGGGCTCGAGTAAAACCTGATGAAATTTAATGTTTAGAATTTTGAATTCTTGGCAGAATTCAAAAAGAAAGAGGCCAGAATCCTTTATTGCGGTTATCAACAAAAAAGCAAGCCTGAGATAAAATTCCATGCACTTTGACAGTTTGAAAGTTAGTTTTACAGATACAAATCATACAGGAGTGGTAAAGACTGACACCACACCACACCCCAAACACAAACACTTCAGTTCTAAAAACAAGGTAAAAACAGCAAACCTAAAAATCATTCCACCATAGTCTGAACACAAGCATAGCACCTACAAGGGAGGCAACAACATTCTTCAGATGTTTCCAATATGTATATTTCCCGTGTTTAACCTGAAGGAAAATGGATTTCAGGAGAGTCTTGAAGTAGGTGAGGACCAAGGAATCAATAAAGATAGCACTGATGTTAGCTTATGAACCGCATCAAGCATATTCAAAAGAGGAGGCAGGAAAAAAAGCATATTTATAAAATACAATCTGAAAAAAACCATACAATTCCAGAATTATGTGGCTGGGGCGGGGTGGGGGAGGGAAGGGGGTGCTACAATTAGCAGATCGATAATGGTATGCAGACAACGTCTGCATCATGCGTCATAACAACAGATGCTTACTCTGTAACATGACAATACACAGCTGGGAAATATTTCCTATTTACATGCAGTACATAAATTCATATAACACATACCATGAAGCATTCACTGTGTTTTACTGATAAAGCACAAGTATGGAGTTTCATACGCTGCTGATAGAGTTACTTTCAACTAAAGTTGGTTACCTTTGGATAAAACAAGTAGATTTTCCTAAATTGAACTCAGTCACTTTTTTTTTTTTTATATTAAAAGCATTATAGATTTAAGTATAAAATATACATACACACATATATATAACTCTATAGTTTGGAGTATGATTATGCCTTAGAGGTATGTTTCAAAAAGCATAAATTCATGCAATATCTGAAAGAGAAAAATGATTTTTCTCCGCTATTCAAGTTCATTATTAGAAGCTTCTGTTTAAGTGTCTTAAAACAGCAGAGTGTATTAAAATTGTTTCCTTATTTTTGGACTAAATTTTAAGTTATTAGTTAAGTCCTGTTCTCTAACTTCTGATCCTCTTTTCCATTCCAAGATTAGGAGATATTGCTAACTGACCAGGGACCAAGTTATCTCCTGTCTTTTTATTTGTCCAAGAAGCAGTTCACTGTACCGCAACCCATTTTAAAATTGTCATCTCCAAACACATCAATAACATTCCAGAAGTTTATTAAAAGCTGCACACCTGCACTTCACAGCCCAGAATACTGGGGCTTGCTGAATCAGTCTGTCCACAAGGTTTCAACACTACTTGAAAGGGCAGATGACAAATACAATAAAAATATGTTTTTTTTTCCTGTGCCCTCTCCCTGCAATCTGAATGGAACTAGTTCTTAAAATCTGAAGGATGAAAATGCTTGCAGGGATTGAGGCCACATATGAATAAACCTCCATGGCCAGATAGTAGCAGTAGTTCATGTGTTTGTTTTAAAGGAACTTTGTGTGCAACCCTCTATAGCTATAACAGCATAGGAACTCAAACTTTAGATCAGGATCAATATCCACATGCTCCAGCAGCCTGCTTCTGATACCTGTAAGAATTCATCACTGGAACCATGCAATACAGTTTATTAAATAAGCTGTCTCATTTTCAGAGATTAAACTAAAACATAGTAATTAAAGATTAAATTATAATGCCACTGGGAAACTGTCAGTGAGAATCCCTCCTCCTCAGGAACGATATCATACTTCTGGTCATACACCTTTTATGGAGGTTGAACCTACACAAAACTCACTGGCAAAAAAGTTTGTGCTTAAGTTTTATTGTGATATTCAAATTTCTAAGCAAAAAATTAGTTTCTGTTACTATAATCCTGAAACACACAGAAACAACCTCAAATTTAGTCTGTGGCCATAAAGAGGAAGATCAGTAAGAAAAAAAAAACAAAAAACAAAAAACAAAAAACACGTACAAAAAAGGCAAAACCCACCATCAGACCACCTTGGAAGTGCCATTTTCTCCAGCCAAAG